CCGCACACCTGCCCCTCCCGCCGTGCTCTTAACATGGATGCTGTCATGACTCTAGTGCCGCCCTGGCCATCATGGGGTGATTCTAAACGGGTGGCTGCAAATGTGGAGCTACCGTTTACATTTTGCAAGTTGTGCTTTTTGCACAGCTCCAGGAGGTGTCCTGTACATTACAGTCATCATAGGTTTGGGCTATCTTAGAGATTTATTTATTGTATTTTAAAGAGAGGGGGAAAGAGAGAGCATGGGCGGGGGGCGGGAGGGGGAGAGGCCAAGGGAGAGGGAGTGAGAGATTCCCAAGCAGACTCAGCACTGAGCCTGACGTGGGGCTTAAGCTCATGACTCTGAGATCACAACCTGAGCTGAAACCAAGAGTTGGAGGCTTAACCGACTGAGCCAACCAGGAGCCCCCTTTATCATAGATTTGTATGGTTATTACAATTTTCCAGAAATGGCAGAAAGTGTCCTAAGGAAGATGTGTCTTTTTCTAATTTGCAAATTATCTTTTGGGCTTGTGGCAGGTCTTGCAGGCTGCAGATATCTTTTGTTTGGCCTGTATTCTTTTAATGTGAATTTGCTGTCCATGTTTTAAAATTGGGATATTTCAGGGGCACCTGGGTGGCTCAGTCAGTTAAGCATCTACCTTTGGCTCAGGTCATGAGCCCAGGGTCCTGGGATCAAACCCAGCATCAGGCTCCCTGCTCAGTGGGGGGCCTGCTTCTCCCTCTCCCTCTCCCTCTGCCCTTTTCCCCCTCCCCGGCTTGTACACACATTCTCTGTCTCAAATAAATTTACCTTTAAGAAATAAATAAAGTAAAATAAAATTGGGATATTTCAGATTTTTTTGAAAAATCCAGATTTGCAGTATTTCTTTTTTAAAAGATCACTATTTGGCCATACCAGTCTGCATTTCTGCAGAACAGTTAGCTGGAGCTGAGTGGCAACTGCCCCCTTTAGATAAGACAGAGGATCTCTCCAGTTTGCCACAGTCTCCACCACTCCCTGTTGCCTCCCAGAAGTACCAAGTGCCAGTTGCCATTTATCATCATGATTGTGCTGCTCTTATTCTACTTCTCATTCTTGATTTCTCTGATTCTCCTTACACTTGGCTTGCCTTCTGCGTGTGTGATTATCTGTGAGCTTCAGAAAGCCCCTGAGTTTGCAACTTGGTCTAAACCTGGGCAAAGGGGAAGCGCATGGTAGTTTCCTCTCACCTAGTGGGTTCTCTTTCCTATCTGATTGCAGGGGCGACAGGAGATCGGCCGGGGGCAACCCCAGCCCAGCGGGGGGTGCACCTGCATCCAAGTCCTGCTGCATCCAGTAACGCTGCCTGGCATCAGCTGCACCGAATGGCACCACCCTTCCTGGAAAGAGACCACCCAAGCCAGCGGAAAACCAAAACCCTGCTCGTGAAGTAAAATAGTAATCGGATTTGAAAGCTGGGAGAGAATTTAGCTTACATTTCATCTAGTGGTTTTCGAACATTTTTTCAGTTTCGAATACTTTGTACTGAGCTAAAACCAACATTCTAGCTCTAATAGACATCAATTAAACATTTAATTAAGGCCAAGTTCATCTGCTTGCTTAGAATCATTTTCACTCTTATACTTCCATTTTATGTTTTCTTATAACAATTGTCAAGCATCCTCAAAAGTAGAGAATTGTTCAGTGAATCCTTCCCTCCTCATCACCCAGATTCCAATATCAAGGTTTTGCCCCATTTGCTTCATCCATTCTTTTACATTTCTTTTGCATTTTTTTCTTAGCTGAAGTATTTTCTTTATTAAATTGGTCTTTTTTCTTTTTTTTAAGTGTTTTTATTGATTGAAGTAACCTCTACACACAACATGGGGCTTGAACTCACAACCCCAAGATCAAGAGTCACACGCTCTTCCCCAAAGGAACCAGCCAGGTGCCCTTTAGCTGATGTATGTACAAGCACATTCCAGACATATCATTTCACTGCTTCATGACACATCTTTAAAAACATCTGGGTGTTTTCTCATAGAACCACATCATTATCACATGCAGGCAATGAACACCATATCCAGTTGTGGTAGATGCGGTGATGAGCTGGACAGACATTTCTTAAAGAGTAAAGGACCTGTGGTCCCTGCAGCACCCAGTGGTGTCCCACAGCCCTCAGAGATGACCTCAGCTGCGGGGAGACACTTTGCCCACGGCCATGCCCTTTCCCGGGATGTCCTACACACAATGACAAACCCATGCCAGGGGTTAAGGCCTGGCCACCTTGGCTCCCTGCACAAGATAACTCCAAAGGGCCCTTCTCACTCAAGGATTCCTCATGGGGTCACCACGGCTGTCACCGGAGCTCCATCACAGCTCAGCTTCTTCCTCTGCCCATTTCTACTGCCTTCCCTTCCCCAGAAGTTGGTCCCATGGGCATGCCTTAATAAAAAGCCTGCAGACCAAGACTCCTGCAGAGGCTGCTTTCTGGGGAGGCCAGCTGGGGATACCTGTCCTTCGTGGTCTCACCCCCTATGTCGCCAAAGTGTCCTAATTAGTTGGTTTGCTTGACTCTGACCCAAAGGTCACACTTTAATTGATATGTCTCTTAAGCCTCTTTCAATCTACAAAAGCGCTCCCTCCTCTTTTTCCTTTGCCAGTGATTTGTTGCAGAAACAGTGTCTGTTGCCCCATATTCTGGATTTACCCATTTGGCTCCTTGTGGTGGTGTCTTTCTCCTCTGTCCCTGGTGGCCGGTAGCTCTAGAACTTCTCTTCCTCCCAGAGAGACTGTCTTAAAGCAGATACTAATGTATTAGAGCATTTGCTTGGAGGAGGGGACCAGAGGGTTTCTCCAAAGTATAAACCAGGATCTCCTCTAACCTTCCTTTTTACATAAATGAGGAAATTGAAGGCCCATAAGAGGACAAGCTGGGCCAAGTTCATGGCACAGTTCCCTGGCTGCCCCCAAGAATCAAATCCCTGAAGTCCCAGAGAACACAGCATACAGAGCACATGTCCCTATGACTTCCACAGCAGATCAATCCCAGCTCCTGACGCATGAGCCTGCCCAGGTTTGCAGGTCAAGATGTCACTAGAGAGCTGGGTCTCGAACCCTCCTCTTTTAACTCTCAGGTTAGATTCTTCAGCCCTCCCCAAATTGACAATCTCAGAGCAGTAGTCTTTAAACAGAGACATGTCCCTAAGCACGCCACGTGTAGTGGTTAAGTGGCAGGGTAAAGAAGAGAGGTATGTGTCACTCAGGAACATACAGATGCTGGTCCTGGCTCCATTCCTTGGGCAAGTTCCCCCTGCTTTCCCCAGCCCTCAGCCTTCCCCATCTGTCAAATGAGAGTCACAATCCTCACCTTGCCTCGCACGGCGCTGTGGTTAGCACCCACAAGACAGTGCATGAGGATGGCAGCTTATGTCGATTGTCTCCCATGACGTCCAAGGTACCGTTCACGATCTTAAATTTCATCTTCACAGCCCTACGAGGTAGAAACTATCACTAGCCTCGTTTATCACATGATGAGGAAACTCAGAGAGGGTAAGAAACCTGCCCTTGGACACCCAGCTGGTAAGTGGTGGAGTCAAGACTCAAAGCCAAACAGCCTGACACCAGGCTCCTGGCTTGTCACTATTTCCCCTGCACCATACTGCTTCTGAGAATCAGCTGTTTTAGAACGGAAGGGACCTCTGAGTTCATCTAAGCAGATCATCTGGCATACTCGGGGAAACCAGGGGCCAAAGAGGTGGCTTGTGCAAGTTTGCACAATATCCAAGTGGCAGAGTTGGGTCTCAAACACAGGTCTTGAGCCTCTAAAGCTCTCACACCATTGAATGTATCTTTGAAGGGATTATTTCTGTGACTCTGTGGCTTGGCTGCCTCCCTTGCCGTGTACAGTCATCAGGCCACGGATAGGATCCACTCACTCATCCATTCAGGAATTCCCGAGCAATAGGGCCGGGCACCCTGCCATGAATGGAGAAGCAGCCCTGCTTTCCTGTACTTTACCATCGAGTAAGAGGGCAACAGATACTGAGCAACCAGTCGCCTGGATAACCTCTGTAAAGACTAACTCGTACCCTGCTGCCCAGCGGAAACATCCTCATTCATCTGAACGGAAAATATCATGGTGTGCGCCTTTCCAACTGCAAAGTCTAGACCATTTCCAGATTGAGAAAATAAATCACATGAAAATGAGAGCTAGTTTCCGTAGGAAATCAACAACTTATAAACAGTGTGCACAGAACATAAAGTGGAACGGCTTAGTGCACTTGTTCTTGTGTATCTAGGATTTCTTCCCCAATGTTTCAACCCTTCGGGGGCACATGGCGATCCGTGGTTCTCTTGCACTCCAACTGCACTTAGAAAATAAAGCAAAGGCAGCTTTAAGGCAAAACAAAGGCTAAACCCAAGAGAGCTTGAAACCAAGGAAACAACACATACATCATCCAGGATGGAGAGTCATGTCTTGACCGCTCTTGCTGGGAGCAAGTGAGCAAAGGAAAACACTGCGAAGCCACCCAAATGCAGCACACAATTCAAGCCTGTTCTGCACATCCCCTGGCCAGAAATGAGTTTTTTGTGTGATTTCTTTTTTCTTTTTCTTTTTCTTCTCTCTCTCTCTTTTTTTTCCACCCGAAAGTGTTTTGTAGTTGTCAGTTGGTGAGGGTTTTTGCTTTGAAAACATGTCACAATATCGCTTCTGGCATGTTTATTTAGTGTGCTCGTGTGAAAAAGGAGTTGTAGTCAAACAAGGAAGTCCTTGTGCAGAAAGTGGGAGAGCTTTTCTAAAAGTCATGGCCAAAAGCTGGTCATGGAATGGCTGTCATGAGAGGCTATGGCCCACAATCACCGTGAAATGTGCTGTCACAGAAGGCGATGTGAGCTCAGAGCGTTTGGCAGGTTGCGGGGCACACCCTGACCAGGGTCTTCTCTGGGAAAGTGACCCCGAAACCAGAATCCTTTTCCCATTTAGTGGGCAGGGTGTCCCCTCCAGGAGCGCAAATAAAGACACGTCTAAACGGGCCTGTCGTGGTATTTTCTTTTTAATCTCCATAGTGTATTTGTTAAGTTTATTTATAAGCAGATCACTTCACTATTTACAGTACATGAGCATAGAGATTCTACAGTTTTTGTGATGTAAACAATAACCCCACAGTGGGAGTCTGAGAAAAGAAGCCAGTTTTGAAGTATTTACAGACATTAAAATAGAACTTTATACTCACGGAATAATAATACATAGAGCAATTTGGTTAAATTATCTATGAAACTATAGAATCTGACAATGTACAAATACAGGAAAACGGTTTCTCATTTAGAAGGTAAGACAGATAAATCACACCAGAAATAAAATAGGGACGATGACAACCACAATAATTAAAAGCAAAGAAGGTCTCTTCCTTGCCTCTTACAGATAAAGTATTTATATAAATAAGGACACAACCCAACAAAATGGAAAAAATATATAAAAATCCTCTACCAATTAAAAAAAATAGCAAAACTAAAAACTCGATTCTCAATCATTAGCAGTGTCCTTTAAAAAATTAAAATTTAGCTTTCTATTATAAATAACAAAGCAGATGTGTCCCTCTGTGTAGGTGAAATTCTTGCACCTTTCTCAAGAAATGCATCAATGTAATTCCACACATACACACACAGGCGTGCACACGAGCAGACAAATACACACACACACAGGCACACACGCACACACACGCACACACGCACATACATACACAGCCTTGCGCTCACGCACCCCAGGCTGTAGTTACCTTGTTGAGCTTCCCAATCAATAATGCCCCCTACAGTAGTACCCCTGGGGATGCCCAAACCTAACAAGTTTAGCCATTCCCTGGTTTGACCCTGTCACAGAGCCGGGGAAAGCCCTGGCTCCCTATTGCTCAGAATTCTCTAGGCTGCACGGTCATACCAAGAGAAAAAGATTTGAGTCCAAGATTTGGAAATGCTGGAAGGGACCATAGGGACCACCTCGCCCAGTCGATTAAGGCTAGCTACAGACACCATCTCTTTAAAACCTGGGGTTGGGGAGAGGGATCTTGTGTCGGTTTCAACCTTAGCACCTGCCTCTGGAGGAAGCTGTGCTCAAAGCTCAAAGCCAATGCTAATACCGTGGCACAAGGGGGTGGGCGTGAATTTCCCAGCAGGCTGCACTGAGCCAGCCTTCCGGATGGTCACCTTCCCCCCAGGAACCATCTGGAAATTCAAGTGGTCCGCCTCCCCGTTCCACTGACCACACACCCCTTGAGATTTCCAACCTGTTTCCATCGGAATCAGAACACCCCTCAAGAAACGAAGTTGGGAAGAGTTTATGACTTTTTATTCCTAACACAAAAACACTTGACAACATTTTTAAAATACAAAATACAAAAAAACAAACCAAAAAACCTGTTTGGCTCTTCAGTGGACCGTATCAAAGGCCATGGCCAGGCCCCCCGCCCCCAGAATCCTCACACCCAGCCTCTTTGCCTGCCCCAAGGGTACAGTGCGGGCCACCCAGCAGAGGTTCACTTAACAAGATCAGCAGCTGAGCTGCTAGTATTGCAGTTAGAGTAACCCCCACCCCCTCCCCGGGGCCCACTCCTGTCTCCTCTGCCCACAGGATAACTAGTGTGCTTCTCAAGTCTGTGCAAGAGTCTACTTAGTGGTTGCTTCTGGAGTCTTCTGACTGGTGTTACATTGGGCTCTACACACAGAAGACGGTTCACTCAAGTCATGACATGTAATTCCCCGAATGGGTGTTGGGGCAGCAAGGTGGCCGAAAGGATGTCTTTGCCTTCCATCTGGGTAGCTGGTGGAGACAGTCCTTGGCCACTAGAGGGCGACCAGACGTTGATAAGGCAAAGTGCTGAGGTGGAAGCTGACCAATCCCTTCACAAGCCACCCAGGCGCCCGGCGGGCCACGCGCAAGAGGCGGCTCCGCTGGGCTTCCTTGCAGGATCCTTTGACAAGACAGCACAGAGGGGGTTCAGCTATAGAAACAAGGCTTTGAGGTGTTGCTCTGCCCAGGGACGGACCACCTAACAAAACCGGATTTTCCAAGGCGCCCCCGGTCCGGGGAGTCGGATGTCTACGCTGCTTCCAAATGTGCAAGGTGTTCTGAGGACACGGAATACCTGCAAACCTGTCCTCCGGGATCTCAAAGCCTCAGCCACCGCTGCTGTATTATTACAGAAACAAAAAGCAAAAAGCTGCCCTAGATATATGCGGTGTGATCAATGCCTCCCTGTTGCCCCAGAGGTGTTACAATCATTTGGAGGAAATGTATGGAAAAGTGCCTAAGTTAAGCTGTTTTGCGGGGGCGGGGGGGAGAGAGTGTATTGCTAGTATCGTCTGAGAGCAAGAGACAAACAGCCAAGCGGTCATCACAACATTCGGATTAAAAGCTGTTCGGTGGGGACGATGACGAGGCTAATGTGAGATTCGAAACCGCCACCTGGCCAAGCTGGGGTCGAACTTCTCACCATCCCCATGAGAAACTATGGCTTAGATCTGTCCTGGGGAGCTGGCCTGCACACAAGGTAGCTCGGCCAGGACCGGGTGGGCTTGAATCTGCTGCTGGTTGGTTACCTCGCAGAGAACTCTCACCCAGGCCTCGAGCTGGGCGCAGCCAGAGGATGGGATCGGTTTCACAGGTTAGTGACCCACGCCCGGGGCTCCAGGGTGGGAACCCGAGCCTATTGGGCTCGAAAGGGACCCTGGTGCTCATTCTGCCCAATGTTCTCCTTCATTAGTGGAGGGAACAGAGGTCCCAGATCACACAGCAAGTGAGAAACATCGGGTCTCTCACTGAGATGGCTTATATAGTTACGTGACTTGCTCTGGAAACCCGTTTCCGTCAGCTGGGCTGCTTTGACTTTGTAATCCATCCATGAAAAATCGGTACCAAGATCTAAACTGGGGCCTCCAACAAGAAGGCGGGCCGAGGGCTCACTCTAGGCCTGGCTCTGCCCTCTCCCACCAGCCCCCCTCCTGACCCCCGCCCAGGGCCTAGGAGAGTCCCTCACACAGCCCAGGGAGACCCGAATCTGCCGGGTAGAAACATGGAGCCGGGCTGCAGTGTGGTTTTCTCAAAGTGCTTTTATTGCTTCAATGCAAAGTCAGCCTCTGCCTGCCTCCTGGACGTCCTGCAGCCGCCTCCTACGGGTCCTCCCCCCACCCCACCATCTGTTTCAGGCCAAGACATTTCTGTGGGTTTCCCAGCTCCCGAGCTCTCCCTCCATTTACCCTGTACCTCCGGACTCAAGCAGGCAGCCCCGGAGCCCACCTATGTGGGCAGATGCCCCCCCGGGACTCGGGGGCCAGCTCCAACATATTGCACACAAGCACTAACTGCTCTCCTTCTGCCCCAGTGGGAAGGGGTGAGGGGGTCCCTCTTCTTTGGCCAACAAAACCATGAGGTTCACTTTATTTGCTACCGTACATCCAATTTCTTCCCTTCGTCCTATTGGAGGGGAACTGCTAGATCTCAAATGCTAAGAAAACACTGCGGTTTTGACGTCAGGGAGTTAGATCAACCGAGTGTCTAGGGTTGGTTCTGCTTCACAGCTGGGACAGCCCCTCCCTCAAGCTGGAGGCTCAGCTGTGATTTCAACGGAAGCCCAGGCCTGGCAGGAGGTCCTCCCCAGCCCACGCAGGAGGACGACGTGTCAGTGCCCTCCCTGCCGCCCCCTCACCTCGGCACGCGTGCCGCATCTGCCCAGAAGAGACCACGCTCAAAACCTCTAAGAGCATAGGCTTTATGCATCTCTTCCTGCATCGGGACTTGGGTACTGAGTGTTTGCACCTCCGAGCGCTCCTCCCTTCCTCCCCCTGCCCCCCGAAGCCCCCAAAGCCCTGCCTCTCCCCTGAGCACGGTCAACATGCCAACACTGCAAGGCCTCACAGCAGATGCAGACACCTGACTCGTGGCTCTTTGACTCAAAACAGTTTCCTGGCTTGGGAGCAAGATGTGGTGGGCTAATGGGGGGCGGGGGGGGGGGGTGGTCGGCTTTCTCTGCACTCCATCCACTCATATTCTTTACCTCTTTGATGCATTTTCCTTAGGCAACCAGAACCCCCAAGAGTGAGGATTCTGATTCAGCCTGGTACCGACTGAGGAAGGAGATGAATTCCACTTAGTGGTTGGATCGGACATTTCTGGAAACACCAGCACGGCACAGAGACGGACAGTACAACCTGCCCCACACGGGCGGCTGTCAACACAGTCTACAGTAAGCTTTTATGGCAAACACATGTAAACATCATCCAGAGCAAATACTAGGACAGAGCTACAATGAGATGGTTGCCAGTGGCCGCTGCTCCCTCTGGGTTTACTCCTTAATATGGTGGGCAAGAGACCAAGGTGGACAAGTTTTCCTGGAGAGACCTTGGAGTCTCCTTGGTTAATAATACACAGCACCGAATGAGTCTTCCAGATAGAGGTTGTCTGCAGGCTTGGTCACTTTTAGAACTTGTAGCCTTTTATGGATGGGATGGCAAGCAGAAACTGCTTGGCGGTCTTGGCAGGCTTCCTCTCCCACCGCAGCCAGCCCTGACCTTAGGCACGTTACCTCCCAGTGCCATGCTCAGATCTCTGCTCTGCTCAAGGGGCAGTATCTAAGTGACTTCAAGTGCCCTGTATTAATCTGAAGTGGATGGGCAGCCTCAGCTGACCCAGAAGAGGGGAGGGAGAGACTGGTCTTCCACTACAACCTGGTATTTCTTTACCCTCTGGTACCACCTGCCCAGGGTAGAAGCTCTGGCCTAGGGTGAGCAAAGAAGAAGCAAATAGCAGGGGCTTAGAGAACCTCTAGTCCAACTCCTTCTGGTGCGGAGGGGAGGGCGAGGACTTTAGCAAGGTCACGAAGTCCTTGGTGGAGCCAAGACTCAACCCAGCTCTCCAGACTCTGGAGTTCCTTCCTCTTGGCTTCCACAGGATGAAACCTCAGTGTACTCCTTGGTCAAATCAGGACTCAGGGGAGGCAGCAGACAGATTTAAATTCTATTCTATTGCATTCCATAACCATTTATTATGTGCCTACTGTATGCTAGGCAGTGAAGAGCTATAAAAGGAATTTACGACGTTCAGGTCTGTGCTGTGGAAAGTCCTTTTCTTGGGTTTATCCTCATAAACCCCACCTCCCTCAAACATTTCACATCTGCTATTCCACTTGCTCTACCCGCCACCCAAGTGGGGGTTGTGTGTCACAGTATTATTGGGAGTCCTGTGCCAATGAATCGCTTTAGGGGACTTTTCTCTCTTAGATCAGGACATGAGAGACAAGGATGAGCCAGCATGAAACCCAGTCACCATTTGGTTCTGTAGAATTGGGAGCCTTTCAAAGATCAGACCAGGATGTCAAATAGGTTAAACTCTGATGTTAGTAATGGCTGCCCAGAGCACTGTGTTGAGAGTTCTAAAAGTATGACCAAGCTCAAAGAACAGGAGTACTGTGGTCGATTAGTTATGTCTGCCACTGGCCAAGGATGTGGGAGTAGTGGCACATGTGCCATGTATTTCCCATCTTGAGCTAGATACCACCTTTGCAGAAGGTTAGATTCAGAGAGGGCTGGGGACCTTAGGGATCTACTTGCCTACTTCTCCCTCTCAGTCCTTTCAGAAAAGGAAGTTGGGGCCCAGGGAGATCAAGTGACTTGATACACAGGAGCTCAAATTCGCTATTCCTTCTAAAGCCCGTTTCCTCCGGCCTTCTCCGCAGGCTTGGAGTATGTTCACCTCTTAGGACAAGCTCATTGGCTCAGCATACCTACTAAGGCATTTGATGATCAATTAAAATAATCATTTTATCAAATGATTAATTTGATAAAAATAATAATAATCAACTACCAAGTCTCAAATTTCTAAGCCTGGCAATCGCAATAGATTAAATTAGCTTCTTTAGTTTTAATGGGTTAATTTCAAACATTTTGAAAGCAAGCAGGACTCTTTCTCTTTTCTTTTTAATACAAACATTTCCCAAGGAACCCTGACATATGAACCAGATTAAGGTGGAGCCGCTCTGTCTGAAGCAGAAGTAACAAGCTCATACCCTGCCTGGCCATGCTTTCCCTCACGAATGGCCCCGAAGACACCTGCAGAACATCCAAGGTGGACATGGTTTGACATCACTCAAGAACAGAAATTTTAAAGTGAAGCCCAACTAGAATGTTGTCAAAGTTGGCAAGGACCTTGGAGACTGTCTTATCCACCCCTGGCCTTCACATGCCCCTCCTGCTCCCCTCGCCCCATGCCACCAAAACGGCTTTACAAGTGAAGACAAGGGAAAGACAAGGTAGTAGTAGGATGGGTTGATGGCTGGCCCCAAAGGGATGATTGCTCCCAGATCACCTGCCTGTGCCTCTCCAGGTGTGTCACTGAAGCTCTGATGGCATGTCCACAGGTGTAGATATCCACAGAACCCTCTGGATTAAGATACATGCCCGAGCCTAAACTTGCCTAATGCTAGTGAGTCAGCTGTTGACTTACCCCTCAGAGTAAGCCCACAGGCTTCTCGCCTGTGGCCCAGCGTAGCCGCCCTCACCTCTACCAGTCCCTGGAGCTGTGTACCTTTACCCCAGCTACTGCACGAGCAGGGGCCCAGGAATCAGGAGACCTCAGCTGGGTCACTGCTCTGCCCTTTCACTGGCTGTGGGACTTCGGGCAAGTCATCTCACCTCTTGGGACCACTGCCCGCCTCCCCTGGAAAAACAAGAGCAATGCAGCTTGCCCCACCTTCCATACAAGGCCGGCCAGGATAGGATATGAGCACTCCAGGCCAGGCACAAGCCCTGAGCACAAGCTGGCACCAGATGGGGGCTCCAACCATAACTGGACCTGCACGTGCTCAGTGAGCAATGGGGCAGAGCTAGGCAGGAAGGTCCCAGAACCTCTCTCCACTGCTCCTGGTGTGGCTGCAGGCCACACTTCCCTGGGGACCAACCCACCAGCTGCCCAGCACCTCGAGGGCATTCTGGCAGAGGGAGCAGAGCAGCTCAGTGGCAAACACCTCACAACAGTGCATAGTTAAAAAATCAAGGAAGCGATACAATAATCCCAGGCACAGTACATCTGAGCCATAAATACATTATTTTAAGGATATACTTTTTTTTTCTTCAATTAAAAATGAGTTTATAATCCTGATTCTATTCACGAGTAACAATTTCATCATCACATACTATAGACAAGAAATGTTATGGTGAACACGGCTGCACGTCTACGAGGGGAAGTTCTCGGGAAGAAAGGGGAGATGGGTGACTGACCCAGCACTTGGAGGCGCACCCGGGGCCACCCGCCGGAAGCGAGGACACTAATGTGGCAGTGGAACATTAACACCATGGAAACTCACAGACAGAAGCAGCTTTGTTCAATGTAAACATTGATTTTTTTTTTTAAAAGGACAGCAGTTTCAAGTCTCTCTCTCTCTCACGTGTGTTCTCTCACGCGCTCGCTCTCTCTCCTTCTCATAGACTTAATTTCTTTGAAAACGTAAACATATTGGAAGGGCCTTGTCTGAGGTATTGAGGTATTCCTCGAAGGTTAAGGCTGTTATCAATGCAGGCTCTGCTGGGCCTCCTTCAGTAAGCTGTCAAAATCCATGGCTTCGTACTTGGTTTTCACTGATGCAGGAAGGGCCTCTTCTGAATTGGAATCTGGGCAGGGGGCGGGGGAGTCAAGGAGAGGGGGAAGGCAGTGAGCAACCCAGAAAGGCTCGACCATCAGAAAAGCTGCCACCAGGGCCAGGCCCACGGAGGGCATGTGGCCCACGGCCTCACAGCACTAGACAGCACGTGTGACCTCCGCCGGCCTACCGTGACACCTCAGCCCTGTCATCAATGTCTCAGGGTGGCCCTGCTTCTAGAACGTGGTGGCCCCAACTAGAGCACCCCAGAGATCTCTTCTGGTTCTGATTATCCTGTAAGTCTATTTCCCTAAGAGCTTCTTGCCCACTAGTAAACCACTGCGAAGTTGCATAAGGTGGCCAACAAAGCTAGGATGCCCTCCCTATATAGATATGGAACCAGACCTCATGCGTGGACAGAGAGTCAGGTGGAACAGTGTCTGGCCCGGAGCCGTCCTGTGTCTCCTCGCACTCAGCCCAATACGTTGGAAGGCTATGTTGGACTCTAATCCAGATAATTCTCTCCTAAATTGTCCTTCTTCACCAACTCGTCCCCAAATGAGGAGGGCATGGTGACAATATTATTTCACTGTGGCCCATTAATGGACAAGGATGTCTGCTAGCTGTTGGGGCCACCACAGAATGCCCCGGAAGGCAGCAGGGCAGCCACTGGCCCTGTGAGGTCAGAGGCAGTAATCATGGTTCTGCCAACTGGCTGTGAACACAAGACTGGACCTTCCAAGGGGCCCCGGGGGGCCCGAATCTCTCTCTTGGTATCAGTCTTGAGACAGGACAAGATGGGCCAGAGACCAGAAGGAAAACCAGATGGAGGCCTCCCAGCTGCAAGGTTGTACCAATGGCATATTAGAGCGTTAGAGCGGAAGCTGGGTCCAGAGGGGGTTTAGGCCTCGCTGGAATGTGCCGGGGCCTTATGTACTTACCATAGTCAGTGTGTCTGGGCCAGCAGAAGTGCTGGAGCCCTCCGTAGCTCAGCTGGAAGGAGGGCTCGTGGCGTTTCCGCAGGGCAGCGCCGTTCCTCAGAGACAGGGCAGCGTGCTCAGAACACCGGTAGGTGATGAAGCCATACTTCTCGCCTCTGTGGGGAGACGCCAGGGGGAGCGTGTTACTGAGCCAGCTTGGTCGACACTCTCAGGCCACCCATTAGTCGGCGACGAGCAGAGAACCACACTGCTTAGTGGTTAGAACCACTAACCATGTCCATGGCCCCCCAAATACAGATGATGGCAACTGCCAGGCTGACCTCTACTGTGCAGTAACAGTAAGAGCAGGTGATTTACAGAATGTTTGCCAGGGTGCCTCACTCTTCAGACCGCCGGGTGAGTGGCTTCTGGCATTTTCTCCCCCTCAGGGATAAGGAAATAGGCTCTGTGGAGTTCAGAATTTGCCCAAAGGCAAGGGGCAGGGCAGGGTTTTTGAACTCAGACCTCCCCCCAAGAAAGCCTGTTTGCCATACCTATGCCCCCACCCTACCCCTCCTGCCTCCTTCAAAGCCAGCCTCAGCCACCACTTCCTTGGCTGCTAATGCGGCCTTCCCCCTTCCCTAACGCAGCTGGTATTCGGTACGCATCTCGTCCTTGATGGTAGACATCTCTGAGCTTGCCCTGCTCAGCATCCATTCCCCCTCCTCTGACAATGGTGCCAAGTGTTCACAATGACTGGTTCAAGGATGAGCCTTTGGCGCACAGCAGAACCTCAAAGAATTCATCCAGCTCGTGGCTGGAACTGTGAGGAACACTCCTCCCTTTCCCCAGTAGGAGGAAACTTAGAGCTGGGGGCAGCCTGTTTGAGAAGGATGCTGAGGCGAGGGGGTCCGGGGGTCAGTTCTTCCCTCAGCTCTTCAGCTCCACAAACAGCAAGAAAGAGACTCCTGGCTGCTCCGTCCCTCTGCTACCTATACTCCTCAGCACAGAGACAAGCTGGAGTCCCCCGACTGCTCAGGACGGGCTCACCAACACTGGGCGTGTTAAGTACAGCCACACTGCTGTGTCCTCCCTGTCGGCCTGCTGTTTCCAGGAATTAGACTACTCCAGATACCCCATGTAAGTGGAGGCGTTCAACATTTCTCTTTCTGTGGCTACTGATTTCATGTAGCATAATCATTAGGTTATCCATGATTATCAAGGTTCATCCATGCTTGTAGCATGTGACAGGATTTCCTTCCTTTCTAAGGCTGAATAATACATTCCATTGTATGTGTATACACAGTTTGCTTATCCGTTCATGAGTCGATGGAATACTTGGGTTGTTTCCACTTCTTGGGTTATTGTGAATAAAGCTCCTATACACACGGTCGTGCAAAGATCTCTTTGAGATCTTGCTTTCAATTCTATTAAGTTTATACCCAGCAGTCGGATTGCTGGATCACCTGGTAATTCTATATTTAATTTTTGGAAGAACCTCCACACCACTTTCCATGGCGGCTGCACCAGTTTGCATTCCCATCAAAGTGCAAGAGGGTTCTAATTACTCTATACCCTTGCCAATGCTTGTGATATTCTGTAGCCACCTTAATGGATACGAAGCATGTAATGATTCCTATAGAGAAACTATTTTGTCATTGAAGCTCTTTAAAATTATTAAATTAGAATTTAAAAGCCTTAATAATTTAGTTGGCAAATATAATGGGAGATACTTCAGAATGACCTCAAAACTGACAAAGTTTTGACATCTAAGTTGTGCATTTACATGCAACCTATTCTTCTTGCAGATACCCTGACTTCTGAATGCTGCTTCCCCAAGTAAGTGAGAAAAAAATCAAGATTCACAGCAGAATCAGTGGTGTGAAACTGGCTGCTCCAGAGGAATGGAGGGATGTGAAGCAGGGGCTCTTGCAGGGCAGTGAGGTTCTAGTACAACTGTGTCCTTAAGCCCCAGGGGCTGTCTGCCGCCCTGGGCCAGTTCCAGGGTAGAAAACCTGAAGCAGACATGTAGGCTATAGATCTGGCTCTGCTACTAACTAGCTGCTTACTTAACTTGCCTCAACTTCCACAAAAGGGAGAGCAATAGAATGAGTGTGCAGGTCACAGGTATGTTAGAAAGTTTAAGAGAGAGGGGCACCTGGATGGCTCAGTCAGTTAAGTGTCTGCATTCAGTTCAGGTCTCGATCCCATTGTCCTGGGATTGAGCCCCACATTGGAATCTCTGCTTAGTGGGGAGCCTGCTTCCCCCTCTACCTGCCACTCTGTCTACTTGTGCTCTCTGTCAAATAAATAAAATCTTTAAAAAACAAAAATCAAACAAATTTAAGAGAATGCACAGGAATTTGCACTTAGCAAACCATTAGCAGCTGTTTTCTGCTTATTGCTGGGCCACACAATTGTTACTGGACCTTCTCTGGGGCCTGGCTCTCCAGGTCCAGGCTGTGGATTTCCTCAGATATGTGTTCTACAAATCTTCTCTGGCATCTTCTGTGTAGCCAGCCCTGGATTGGGACTTCTGCCCCTCCTCCCTGCCCTCCTCTGCAAATAGCTCGACTCGACTCACCTCTTGCTTCTTGTCAGCACCTGGCACTCCACAATCTCACCAAATACTTCAAAGCGCCTCTTCAGCTCTCGGGAGCTCATGTCACTGGAGAGATTTCGAACGTACACCACACGGCCTTCGCCCTGCTCCAGAAGGGAGACACGGAGAGACCCAGTCACTGCCTGGCTTCCTGGGACCTCTTTGATGGTGGGCTCCTACAGAGTCCTCATCCTCAGCCCGTGCTGCCTGGCTGAGCATGTGACACCACCTGTGGCTGGAGTCAGAGAGAGGACAAGGACAATCCCTCTCCCAAAAGACCTGCCTTGGAGGAGGGGGCCGCTGAGTGTCGGGATGGGATGTGGCTCCCAAAGGAAGCCACTGCTCACTTAAGGAAATGAGCAGAGAAGGGACGAGACAAGAGGATTCATCAGTATTAACATAACTGTGTACCGTATTTGTGTTCTGAGTCTGGGGCTTTTTTTTTGGTAGTTGGGGGAGGCTGTGATAGAAAGGCAAGTTGCCAAGATGGTAATGGGCAAGGATAGGGAGCCAGGTCATTGTGGGGGTCACAGTGGGCTAGGAGGAAGGCAGTAGGACCCTGGGCATAGGGCTCAGAACCACCATCACCCTCAGCTTTGCCAGGGCAGCGTGCGGACACGAGGACTAAGAGGTCACTTCTGGTGAGCTGGGTGCTGTGCTGTGGGCCCCCAGAATTGCCCAGCAGAGGGAGGGGTGGGGGAGAAACCCAGGCTGAAATGTCCCCTCCTCTTCCTCTACCATCCGTGACTGGATCCAGTTAAAGCCACTGCTAGTGGAAGAGTTGCTTTGACCCGCTAGGTAAACTCCAGCTGCGTTCCTGGAAACCTGCACTCTTGTGGGTAATACAGACAGCTCTGGTTTGGACAGGCTTAGGGTAAGGCCAGGGACTCTGGAGCCATCCCATTCTCCTCTCACAGAGGGGCAGGGAGGAAACCAAGGCCCAGGGACCCAGCAGGGCTCCGCCCTAGGTTCTGGATTCTGCTCAGTGAAGAAACACCCTCCTCCCAGGCTCCTGGCAGCTCCTTAACCTGATAAGGTTCTTTCCTGCCTCTGTTCCACATCCTCCTGAAACTTCATGGTGGCTCCTTTCATCCATCAGCATCTAGCTCTTTGCAGATGCCCTTCCCAGACTGCCCTATAAATACATCCTCGCGAACCATCAAAACACAACTATTTCTCTCAGAGACTCGAGCCTGACGTGATTAATTCCACCGCGCCTCTCCCCATCTCTGATTACAGTGTTTATTCCTTGTTTATAAGTCTGTTGTACGTCTCCCTTCTGCCCCAGCCATGAAAACAGGGGCCTGGTCCATCTCGTCCACGCCAGGCACATCACAATCGCTGCATGGTCACATGTGGATTCCAAGAAGACGCTCCAGGCACAGCCAGTGGTTCTAAGTACCTGCTTGCAGACAGCTGTGGACCTCTGGGGTACACACACCTCATGTGTCCGTCCACGTCTCTGCCCTGAAGCACCCTCATGGTGGAAAAGCAATCAAGTGCAAGTCTGTCTTTCTGTGCCTCTGTCTGAATACTTTCCCTTCCCTTCTTTCTAGTGACATGGAGCGGCTGGCTCTGGCTCTCCTCTGCAGCCTCCTGGCACAGCCGAGGCCCAGAGACTAACTCTGGAGGAGGGTCAATAAGGTCAGTGGGAAGCAAGGAGCAGGCTCTCCTGGTCCCTTAGCCCTGATCGAGCCAGGGGACCCTTAGGAAGGACAGGCCCAACTCCCTGGTGTATGGATGAGTAAACTGAGGCTCAGGGAAGCTGGGAGACCTGCCCAAGGTCACACAGGAGGTAGTAGCAGGGCTGCTCTGTGGCCTGGTTGGCCTAGCTCTGCTCCCTGCCCCCCCATCCCCCGCCCCACGGCCTGTGCTCTCAGCTCTATTGAGCCTGTGATGCTCAGCGCTAAAATCACTACCGACTACACGCCTCACAGCCAGTCCCTCAGCCGCACTTTGCACGATGCCACCTCTGATGCCCTTTGGTGACCCTTGTGCCTTTTTAAGTCAAAGAAACTTAATTGTCTTCTGCAGGCCACAGCCAGCCTCAAAGGGCTTCGGGCCTCTGAAGCCTTGGCATGTCCTGCTGCCCCTGTTCTTCCCCATTCACTCCGGGCTCCGGGGCCCCAGGTCACTTACAATGGCCTTTTCCCGCCGCTTCCTGGCGTGCCGGACGCTTGGCGTTCTGTCTGAACACGGCCCTCTGCTCTCACATCTGTCAGTGAACAAGCAAAGCAGAGGCACTCACTCTCAGGAGGGACCACAGCAGGGTGGGTGGGCGGGTAGAGTTGCTCTATGAAGCAAGGGACGCTTCTTTCAAACTTGCTCATGAGGGCAGAAGTAGCAGGACTGGCGCCCACGGAAGGCCAGCGTCCCCCTTGGCAGCAACAGCCCAGGGTTGTGTGCGGCTCTGCACCATCCAACACGTGCCTTTGCCAGCTTCCTTGACTGGATCCCTGGAAACCACCGTGTCCCTAATCAGCACCCTTCTGCCTCTTTATGCCATGAGGGGTGGAAAGGTCCCTTTGCTTCATTACTGCATGTGATCTGATGGGGGGAAAAGCAACCCACGAGGCCTTATGCTTCCCCATTTTCCAAAGGAAAACCCTGAAGCTCAGATTCAGTATGGGATTTGCCTAAAGCCAGAATGCGGGGGAGGCACAGCTAGCAGGAGGGGTGCTGATCCTAGACCCACCACTCTCTAGTGGCTGATGCCCAGCCAAGAGGCAATCCTGGCCATCACAGCCCCCATGTCCCGTCCGGCTATTGGGCTCATCAGCCCAGGTGCACAGTCTGAGGACACTCGTGGGTGCCCCACGCTCATGTCCTCTTGCCTGTCTGCATGCTGCCTCCTCCTTCCTCCAGAGAGCCAGGCTGCTGGAGTGGAAGGAGCATGGCATGTGCGGTCTGCAGGGCATCCTGGCTCTGCACAGACTGTTTGCATCCCTGGGAAACTCAGTACAGATGACAAAACATCGGCTCTCCAGTCAGACGGCCTGCATTCGATGCCCTGCTGGGTGACCTTGGGCTAGTTACTTACATCCCCTTAGCTTCAGTTCTTTGACTGGAAGACAGGGAAGACTGACTGTACCACCTCCTTGGCCATTTGTGAGGTACAGAACACAAAATGCTGAGCTCAAGACCTGCTCAGTTAATTGCTTGCTTGCTTTTCAATTGAGCCTCTTACAGCCTCTGCTCCCTCATCTCTAAAATGGGGACAAAAAGCAAATGTGCCCTCAGGGCACCTGGGTGGCTTAGTTGAACATCTGCCTTTGGCTCAGGTGTTAATCCCGGGGTCCTGGTATCAAGTCCTGCATCAGGCTCCCTGCAAGGAGCCTGCTTTTCCCTCTGCCTATGTCTCTGCCTCTCTCTCTCTCTCATGAATAAATAAATAAAATATTAAAAAAAAAAAAGCAGATGTGTCCTCCAAGTGCATCTGGAAAGCTAAATATGGTAATAGAAGGGGGTGTGACTTGCAAATGTTAAAGCACTATAAATAACAGGGGGCATCTGGGTGGTTCCGTTGGTTAAGCAGCATCCAACTCTTGATTTTCGCTCAGGTTATGATCCCAGGGTCATGAAATAGAGCTCTGCATCGGCTCCACACTGGGCATGGAGCCTGCTTGGGATTTTCTTTCTCTTCCTCTTCCTCTCCTCCACCCTCTCTCCAATAATAAACAACAAACAAATAAACAAATAAGTAAAGTGCTATAAATAACAGTATCATCATCCATTTGCAAAGGATTGGCAGTTCCCCCACCTGCAGAGCTGAGGGTGACTGGTTTGTGTTGTTAAACCCCCTCAAAACACTTTTGTTGACCAATGTTTGGTACGGAAAGCACAGGTGAAAAGATGTGGGTCTGGAGAAGACTGATGACAAGTTCACCAGGTTTACCAAGCACTGAACTTTGCCAGCTGAGCAAGAACCAAGTTAACCAATTACTTTTCTCTAGTGAGAAGAAAAAGCCACCCCTGAACTTGGCCCAAAAGCCAGAAGAGGGAAAGGAGAATCCATGGGAGTTTCTAAAGAGGCTCCTAACTCTCTGCAGGCAAGTTGGGCCTACCCTGACAGCCCTGAGCTGGTCAGGAAGGAAAGGAGGCCAGAAAACCTCAGCTCCAGCCTTGGAGGGAGGGAGGGAGGGAGGGAGGTGTTTCAAAAAGAAGAGAACCTTAGTACCTTCTGAAATACTAAACATTGTAGAGGAAACTGCCTAATATGGATGCCAAGTCACTTAGCTCAGTGACCCCCGAGGAATAGAGAATGGAGCCCTCATCCTGGCTTATTACATAGAAGGGCTTTACGAGAAATCACTAGGGAACTCTTTTGGAGTAACAGGTAGCCCAGGGCTTCTTAACATTAGTATCTGGAGAGTCTACAAACCTCCTAAAACCTAACGCCAGTTGGAGGTCTATGTACTTTTTAAAGGGAAGAGGAGTGTTTGCTTTCATTAGATTGTCAAACAGTTAAGAGTTACTTGTGTAGATAAGAGAAAGCCCAGTTTTTCTAAGATTTTTTTAATTACCTGAATTCTGCGTCTGAGAGTATGGCTCTCTGGTGATATCATCATCACCTGGGAACTAGTCAGAAATGCAGATTCTCCACCACCACCCCCAGATGTAAAGAATCAGACACTGGGCGGGTGGGGTCCAGCGGTCCACAGGTAACCAGCGGCCGCCACTGCACTGCTCAGGACCCCAGAGCACCATCTAGTGGTCGCTTAGGTGCATCTCAGGTGGAGGGTTTGCGACCTGCACCGGCTGACCCGCCTCAGGCCTCCCGCAGGTGAAGACTCACTGGAGTCCTGCTATGAATCAGGGAGAGAAGCAACGGGTCTCCACCAAAACACACCAAACCCCCACTCTTTCTGCCTAACTCCCCGCTGACTTTTGAACCAGCTCCTTCTTTCAGACTAGTTCAGTGGGCCAAGATGGTATGAGCCAACAGGCTCAGATGCATCATCGCAGCGGGAAGGTAAAGCAGCTTCTCAACTGCTAGAAGTCCTGCACAGTTCACCAGGCCCAAGAGATGGGAGTAAACCTTATCACTGCTTTAAGTCCAGGTGTTCTTTTTTTTTTAGAATACAGATCAGAATTCTGCTCAATTTCTTTTCACATGCAAATGTCCCATTATATGAAACTGAGTCCAATTTACAAATGTAAAAGCAGAAAACACAGATGAGAAAGGGACAAGTTCATTTAGACATAAGGCTGCGAATGGCCAGGAAGTGGGTTTTCTTCCTCTCCCGGGGCCAAGAGACTGGCGTCACTCCTGACCATTTCACTGCAGGCTTTACCTGCCTCCAACTGGCCCACAGCTCCCCCAGGGAGATCACCTCCAGGGCCTCTGACCAGGACGCAGGCCACACACAGAGACGCAGCCCCAGGGCTCCTCCCTCCCGTGGCACCCCAGCAACTGGGGTCCTCAGCTGCCCACTGTCCCTCTCGAGGCTGCCCATCCATACCTGAAGGTCCTTCGGGTGGCTGGTGACCGGGAGCGGCAGGAAGAGGAGCCAGAGCTGGAGCGGCTGCGGGAACAGAGCTGCCGACTGGCCTTGCTTGGTGGGCTCTGGTAGGGGCAGTGGTCAGAGCGAGGAGGGCTGACCCCTGAGTCCTCTTCTTCATCCTCCTCTTCCTCCTCCTCCTCCAGGAGGAAGCTGCTCTCACCACTGCTGCTGCTGCTGTCCTCAAAGACCGTGTCATACTCAGGACTCTTACAGGAGGCCAGGTCTTCATCCTCCAGGGCAGTCTCCAGAAGCCCAAAGTGCTTGGTGAGGCTGGCGCGGATCTCATGGTCTCTCAGGGGCACGTTGTCCTTGGCGGGATCCCCACTGTCACAGCTTCTGTCTTCCTCCCTGGCAGAGGCCTGCACCTCAGCCCGTGGGGCACCTTGTTGGCGGCAGTCCTCAAGATGGACCCCAGACGGCTCCCAGGACCTCAGCACCTTCCTCTGCAGGGCGCCTTCTGGCTTAAGCACCTGGCAGTAATCGTGGTCTCCAAAGGAACAGGAGAAGGGGCGCTTCTGACCCGTCTGGGAGGCCGGCTGGGCTGTAGCATGCCGCAGGTGTGACAGGAGCTCGCTCCGTTCTGGTTGCTTCTTCGGCAGCTTGGGGGCAGCTGCTGTGGCGGGCCCAAGCTGGAGGCCCTCCAAGCTGGGGAGACTGGGAGCTCTGTCTATGCCTGGGCTGTGTTTGATGTCTGGCTTGAAGGGGTCCTCCTCTGTCGGTTTGTAGGGAGGTGTGGTGGGTGGGGTGAGTCCTAGCCAAGCAAGAGGAGAACCAGAGGTGAGGGGGACAGAGACTCTAGTTTGGGATGCCACATCAGCAGCACAAGTACCTCCACTTCCCCGACCCAATGAATGGCAGGCATCACTAATCAATCACTGCACTGCCAGCTGAGCCTGAATGTGGCCTGGGACTCCTCACACAGTCTGCGGTCAATTCTTTTTTTCCAATTTGAATTCAATTAATTAACATATAATGTATTTTTATTAGTTTCAGAAGTAGAGGTCAGTGATTCACCAATCTTATATAACACCAAGTGCTCATTACATCACGTGCCCTTCTTAATGGACAGTTACCCCAACCTCCCACCCCCCTCCACAGTCAATTCTTGAGCTGGCATGTGATGAAATCCACTTGCCATCCCTCTATAGCCCAGTGATGGTAGCCAAAACCTTCAGGTCATTTGAGATATCTCCTCCTGCTCTACATCCTGTCACTCAACAGCCTCTGATGTCCCCAGAGCTGAGAGGAGGCAGGTGCCACAGGTCAACTTCCCTCGTGGACTGGGCCATCACAGTGCCATTGGTGCTTCCTGCATCGACCCTTGGCCTCCCTCCCCGCCCCCCAGGGCACCAAAGGGAACTTGCTAAGTGCCTGAGGTCTCTTCCTTTCTGGGGCTCCTGAAGCCTACAGGATCAGGATCACAGCCTCAGCCTGGCATTCCTCTGGGCCCTCTGTGATTGCTCCTTCCTGCCCGCCCTGCCTTTGCTATGCAGCAACGGCAGGTGGTCAATCTCAGATGCACCTGTGCTTTCACCCCACGTGCCTCTGCTCCTGCAGATTCTGCTGCCAGGGATCTCCTTCCCACCTCTTTGTCTCTATCTCCCCAACTTCTGCTCGTCCCCGCAAGCTCAGATCATATGCGCCCTGCTCTGGATGCCTTGCAAAGCTTCCCAGGCCACGCTCCTGCGCTGCCCCACCCCGCCCCTTCCAGCACCAATGCTCCCAGAGCTCTTGCATATCCTTTGAGTCATAGTGTGAGTCTGTCTCCTCCATAAGATGGCAGGCTCCTTTGGGGGAAGACGGTGTCTCTTTCTTTCCTAACCTTGCCCTCAGCTTATGTGCGGATCGTTTGCAGATGAAAGGCTGACTCTCCCCCTTATGACACCCTCACTATGTATCCTAAGACCCCATGCAACCCGTGCAGCAGTGGCAGGATCAGTGGGGTACACCCCCAACTGCCCAAGGGGCTGCTCAGGGTAGGGGACTCGCTGCGAGGAGTCACGTCTGCTCCCCCAAGGGCACCCTACCAGCTGAGCCCCTGGCTCACCTGCGGTGCCACAGAGCTCCACCGTCAAGGTCTGCTCAAAGCTCTTCCTGCCAAAAGGAGGGTCACTGTTGGGGGTGGGGAGGACAGAAAGGAAAGAGGCCAATCAGCAGCAGGCTCCACTTCCCCCAGCACGCAAGGAGGGCAAGGGGACACTGCGATGGACCCTGGTTCTGCTGCCCATAGAGGTGGGTCCTGGGGAGAATTTCTGGGAAACCCTCATCCTGGCTTAGAGGAATTCAAAGCAGCATATACCTCTTGCAGGAGACACAGGAGGAATTTGCTGGAGGAGGGGGACAGGGCAAGCATCATTACCCTTCTTATTTTACAGATGGAGCACCCAAGTCTCAGGGTGGGGAGGAGACTTGCCCAAAGCCACACAGCACTTTCAGCTCTCCCCTGTGGAGAAAAGAATTCCTTCCCCTGTCCTGGAAAGGGCAGTTTATGAAATGGCCTGAAACCTTAATTCCCCCACTTTCCCTGGGCCTGCAGAGACCTCCCTTCTAAAGGAGCCCACGTATGGCAGGCCCCACATGGCAGAGTGAGAGCAGGTGCAGGGGGACAGAGGCAGGCTTAGAGGCTGAGGAACCACCTACCCCCCCACCCCCGAGACACATATCCAACAGGATAAAGACTCATGGAATAATTAACCAGTGATTTCCAAAAATCTACCTTTGTGACAAGGCCAGCATGAGGCACCTGGGAGAGTCTGAAAAGAAGATGAAAAAGAAAAAAAAATAAGATTCCCCAACATGGCATCATTAGCATATGTTTCCCTCAGGAGGAAACCCTGAACCCCCACTGGAACCCAAGCAGTACTCCCTTCAGGCATGTGACCCAAAAGTCTCTGTCATTTTCAGGAAAGGGCAGGAACAACTCAAAGCCACCTTCATTCCCAGGGTCTCAGCAACATTGGCGGTGGGCAGACTACTGGAGGTTTCCGAAAAAGCAAGTGGCTATGAGGGTGATCCCTTCTGGCCAAAGAGTGCAGTACAGTGGGGAGGAGCCCCAGGGAAGGCCAGGGCCTAGGGTACTCCCCCAAAAGGTGGACGCAGGACTCGCTAGCTCAACGGGTCACTCGATACCTCTGTGCCTCAGTTTCTCTGTCTGACAATGGAGATTATGCTAGCACCTACGACACAGGCCCCCTGTGAAGAATCACCGGGGTTAAGTGGTGTCAAGTTTTAGACCAGCACCTGGCACAGCGAGTACACAACAGATCACCCGGTATGATCACCACCACTACTGTTACCATTTAAAATTCAACATCATTATGGAGCTGGATTTAAGACTCACTCCTTTTGTCACATCATCACCCAGGACGTCTTCTTTAGAGCACTTAGCACAATTTGTAATTATCTTCCTTTTTTATTTACTTTGTGATTGCCTGTCTGCCCCACTGACACAAAAGCCCCAAGAGGGCAGGCATCTCGCTCCGTGTTCATTAAGTGGTGCCTGGCCCACGCGTGATGAAAAACTCAAGAGATGTGTGGGTGATTTCTGAAGAGCCGCCCAAATAGCCCATTGCACAGAAAGGGAAGTCGGGAGCCGGAGAGGGGAAGGGACTTGCCCAGCACAGGGCTCCTGGCTCCCAGCGCAGTGGGGAATGCCACGCCCCATCCCTGCCCCCTCTCTTGCAGACCATCGACTCCGACTACCTCTGGAAGGGAGCCGTGGGCAGCTGGGGTCCTCATCCGTGTCCCCACACCCACTCTCACAGGGGCTCTCCAGAGCCGGGATCTGGGGTCCCCGTGGGAGCTGCTGGTCCTGGCCACTGTCCTCATCTGTGGGGCTGCCCAGTGCCCCCTCCACGTCGTAGGCCTCGGAAGCCAGGCGCAGTGAGGGCAGAGTTCCCTGGGGCTCCACAGGGACCAGAGACTCATCAGAGAACGCCAGCCAGGGGCCCAGCTCCGGGTTCAGTCTCCTGGAACGCCGCACAGGGCACACGGAGCTCTCCAGCTTCCTTCCCAGCTTGGTCCATGGCAGGCCTCGACCTGGTCTTTTCCGGCCCCACTCCTCCTCCTCCTCTTCCTCATCTTTTTCGTCCTCTTCCTCCTCTTCATCCTCCTCCTCCTCTTCCTCCTCCCGCTGCAGCCTGGCTGTCCGGCCAGTGTGTCCTTTCACGTCAAGCCGCAGTGGGCGCAGGCTGGGTCTGGGCCCAGTGCTCCGGGGTGAAGCTGTGATCCTCACCTCCTCCACAGGGGATGGGTGGCCAGGGGAGGCCTGGCTGTCTTTGGGGGGCCTGGGCCTGGGGCGGGGTGTGAGGGAGGCGTAGACAGGTGTGGCCAGGCGGTAAGGTTTGCTGACATCGCAGAGGACATCCTGAGCCAGAAGTTCCCTCAGGATGGAGAACTCGGCCCAGGAGCCTTTGGAAGGGTGTTGGGACCGGGGCCGGGGTTTGACCTGCTTGGAGGGGCTGCTGCAGGGCTGGGGGGCTGGCTCAGAGGCCTGGGGGGGCAGCTTCCTCTGGGGGAGGCAGTAAGTGTGCATGTAGCGAATGAGCTGCACCATCGCCTGCATGTCTTCCCGGGACACCTGGGTGCCAGGGCCTGCCCTGCCCGGTGTTGGGGAGTCCTGGGGCAAGGCTGGAGCTGGCTGGGGGCTCGGGCAGTCCTCACTAGCTTCCTCATCCTCCTTGGCTGGGAGCGGGGGACTCAGGGCCGGTGGTGGCTGCAAGCCCCTGTCTGGGGAGCGGGCTTTAGTCTGGGGGCAAGATGGCACTGACGTGAGGTGCTTATGCAGTTCTGTACAACTCCGGCCCTGAGACTGCACTGTGGGGGCCTTCTTGTCTTGGGTGCTGTCCATCTAGAGAGAGAAGGAGGACACGGTGAGGAATGAGGCCCACATTGCCCCCTTCACTCTGCCCCATGCCTACAGCCACTGGCCGGGGCCAGCATGGCACCAGGCAGTGCTCAGGTGACAAGGAACAAAGGAGTGACCAGCCTCCTAACAGGCCTCCCAGGCACGGATTTTACCCCTTCCCGGTTCACTCCCCAAGCCCTGCTCTGACCACCCCGCTCTCCTGCACTACACACTTCAGTTGTGTCACCAGGACCTACATTAGTGGTGGTCTGGGCTTGGGCATGGGAACAAGGAAGAAGTCTATGTGGGAGTGCTGGGGAGCTTTCTGGGATGATGGGAACGTTCTAAACTCAATTATAGTCATGGCTTCACAACTCTGTAAATTTACTACAATCATCGAATTCTACTTTTATTTTTTAAAGATTTTATTTACTTATTCATGAGAGTCAGAGAGACAGAGACAGAGAGAAAGAGAGAGGCAGAGACACAGGCAGAGAGAGAAGTAGGCTCCATGCAGGGAGCCCGATGCAGAACCCGATCCCAGGACTCCGGGATCACACTCTGAGCCAAAGACAAGACACTGAACCACCCAGGCATCCCCGAATTATACTTTAATAAGTGCCTTTATGACATTTAAGTGACACCTCCATAAAACTGTGTAAAAAAAAAAATCCTGATTCTGCCCTGAGGGCATGGGATTGCGAGCAACAGTCCCCTGCAGAAGTGTCCAGGGACCAAAGAAAAGGACTGAATGTGGGCTTTGAGTAACGGGAATGCTGGGAAATCACCTGCGAAACCTCTGAGTCTTAGAAGATGGAGCCCAAGGAGGAAAAGGAATTTGCTTCATTCCCTGGTGTTCACGACAGAGCTTTGGTTGCTCCAATGGCTTCTTTCCCCAGAAGAAATCCAAACTCCTTATTGAGGTCCCCACAACCAGTGAGGAGCTTATGTTTCAGTGTGTCACCCACTAGAATAAGCCCACTGAGAGCAGGCCACATCTTTCTCATCCCTGTTTTAACCCATCCTCTAACACGGTGCCTGCAATACTAAGGTGGAAGAGAAAGCCCAGTGCTCTCCCTAGAACCCCAAACTAGCCTGGGTCTCAAGAAACACCAAGCACACCAGCTACAGGGGTAATGGAGGGAAACCAGATGCTGATTGAACTTGACACCCTCTAATAAGAGTGGGAGGTTGCACCCCCTTAGAGGCCACCTGAGAGCCCAGGTGGATTTTGGGATGTGCACACAAATACCTTGACACAAGGCCGCTGATTCCTGGACCTGAGGCCTGCCTGGCGCCAGGCGGTGCCTTCCTTCTGGGTGTCGGAGCTTGAGGCTGGGTAGGATGTGGCGAGAAGGAGTTTCTGCAGCTGTGGGAGAAGCAGAGAGGAGGGGAGCTGGGCTGTGCTCCGCTGGGGGACATGGAGAAGTGTGTGGCGGGGAGAAGCCTAAGCCCAGAGCTAGCTTCTAGGGACTGAGCACGCCCTGACTCTGGGTCATCACAGGACCATGGGAAGAACACAGGGAGGGCATTTAATGACCTAGAATGTTTCCCATTACATTAAGCACAGAAAGCAGATCGTGTAACAATGTAACACACACACAAGTATCCCAATAAAATATAAATCCTTTTCAGAGTTACTAACCCGAGAGGAGTATCTGTGACTTTGAGAAATTCCAAACAGATCTGGTGTCATGTCTTCCCATTCTACTGTTAAAATATGCCACGTACACCTTACTGGGACACTCTGCATATGCTTACGATACACATGCGCATGCATACACACAATCTGGAAAGTCAGGTACCACAAGGATTCTCTGGTATGGGATTCCAACTGACTTTCCTTTTGTTCTTTTTGCTTATTCATACTGCTTTGCATAAAGTTAATTTTTTAAAAAGAAATGCTTGTAAGTAGTGAAAAAAATATACACTATAGACACTAAGGGGTGGACAAGTCCCCCTCCTGCCCGAGCTCCCTTCCTCCTTCCCAGAGACAACTACTATTAACCACCTTCTGGCGACCCCATTCTGAGGTGGGATTCAATCACACAGGAATGTATGTACATATCACCCCCAACACACCTGGTTGTTTGTACACAGTGGAAGCATACTATACTAAAGCTTGTCTGGCTTTTCTAATTTTTCTATAAAAATTACTGAGTCTCTTACACTTCTGCACCCAGAGGACAGGTGCATAGTGTATCCCAGAAGAGAGCTGGGAACTGAGCACACCTGCAAGTCCCACCAAGGATCCTGTGACAGCAAGACTGAGAAGAAGCCAGGAAGCAGGATGGATTTTTGCTACAGCACCAAGTATTTCCTCAAGTGATATGCCCTCCAGGTCACCCCAGCAAGGAGTGCTGGGGTGAGCCAGAGAGAAGGCCAATCCTCACTCCCCTAGGAGCTAAAGGATTCCCACCACCCCACCTAGACCCCAAACCAACACACGCAGGTCCGTGATTCTCTGACATGGACAGAACGAGATTCTTGGGCTGGCAGGAAGGGATCTGGTTCTGGCCCAGCTCAGCCCCACTCACTATGAGCCCTTGAATGAGTCCTTTCCCTCTTCAGGCCTTGGCTTTTCCATCGGCATATTGGTGGCAAGCACATTAAATGATTGGTTCTGAACCTTTTTTGATTCAGGAGTCCCTCGAAAGATATGATAGAAGCTGCTGAGCTCAGAAGGATGCACGGATATGTAGAGGCCAGCCCACCAACGGGCTCTCTGGGATCCATGACTCCAGGTTAAGAACAGGGCATCTGGATCACTCGTCAGGGCCTTTCTGAACTCTGCTGGTGTGCTGGAAGTCTAGCTGGTGAGTCTGTTACCTGCGTGCCCAGCACACTTCCTGAAATGCTCAACAGGTGTGGGAGGAATGAAGGCAGTCGGAGGCATGGGAGGGAAACACCCTGTGGCCAGCAGGGGTCGCTCTCTGCCTCTCCAGAACCCCCACAGAGAATTCCTCATTACTACTGCCACCAGGACTATTACTTAGATAGCATTTATTGAGCAACTTCTATGTGCCAGGCACTGCTCTAAGCGCTCTCCATGCATTATCTGCTGTACTCCTCCTAACAGCCTTTGAGATAAACCCTATTATTAACCCCACCTTATGGACCAGGAAGCAGAGTCAGAAAGATTAGGGGCCTCAAGGACACACAAGCACTAACTCGTGGGGCTGGGATTCAAACCCAGTCTGAGTCCTGTCAGCAGAAGCCACCACGTACGACTGAACATATTCTCGCGCCCAGCACACGGTAGGTCCTTACTAAATGTTTCACACCACTCTCGGGAACTTGCAGGCCATGGGAGAGAAGAAAAAGGATCCTGGAAAAGGAGTCAGAATACCTACTTGGTGTGTGACCACAGGAGAATCCCTCCTCGCTCTGGGCCTGTTTCCCCAGAGCTGCACTTGAGAGTTACCAAGGGCCTTTCCACTCAAACCTTCCATGACCTAAGACCCTCGCCAGCTCAATAAGTCCTGATTTTCCAGCTGAGTCTTATAAGCACCTAGGTTCTCCAGTGCCAAGGCGGGGAGCCCAAGATACGTGAGTGAGGTGGGACTTCACACGCCCCATGACATCTCAGCTTCCAGCTTCCAGCTTCCCTCTGCCTGAGTCAGCAACTGCTTTCGGTAACTTTTTGAGGTCTGGACTCCTTTGAGAATCTGATAAACGCGGAGACCTTCTCCCCAGAAAAATACAACGCCATGTGCCCATTCTTCCCCATCCCACAGATACTCAGACATTTAACTTCTCCTGAGGGGGAGGAGGGTATTGACCAGTCTGACCTCTGTGGAGGGCAACCTGGAAATATCTGTCTAAACTGAAATACCGGGTCTCTGCAGACCCAGGAATCCCACTGTTAGCAACTCATCCACTTAGATGTGCAAAGGCCTCTACCAAAGCACTGACCGCAGCAGTGTCACAGGGAGAGGTGGAAAAACCTAAATCTCTACCAAGCAGGAGACTAGTCAAATAAGTTATGGTCCATCCTTACAAAAGAACACGATGCAGCTAACAAAAAGGATGGAGCCGAGCTACCTGTGCTCATCTGAGTTTTCAAGGCACACAGTTCATTGAGAAAAGGTGCAGAGCCATTTATGAGGTCAACTCCCTTTTGTAGTGTTAAAAAAAAAAAAAGTAGAAGAGGAAAGTCACACAACAGATTGGTAATCATGGTTACCTCCAGCCAAGGAACTCAACTGTGGGATGGGCAAAGAGGTTTTTTTGCTTCTAACTACCCACATTTTCTGCTTGAATTTTTACTGCCGTGTGTCTGTATAACCTTTAGAAAGAGGTTTACATGTAATTTCGAGGTTTTACCACACAAGGAAGGTCAATCCATGAAATCCCAAAGGACCTACAGAGTGCAGGTGGAGCCTCCAAGGTGAGCCCCGCAGTACCACAAGGAAAGGGGAGGCCCGGAGGGGACTTCCATGCCCTGTCCAGGCTGCCCACCATATGTCAGTGATACATAGACATACCCCCCACAGGGGCTGAAGCTGGCTCCCCTACAACTGCTACCCCTACAAGCAGACACCACAGCCCCAGCCACTACCATCCCCGCAGCTAGAAATAGGTTCTTACCAGTGAGAGGTCATCCACCTCAGGTGCCAGGGGCTGGGGTCTCTCCAGTGAGGGGCTGGGACTGGGGGGTGAGGATGAGGGGGCAGGCGAAGCTGAAGAAGTGCAGGATGGTGCATCTCCACCATCCAGGGCCGGGAAGGCAGCCAGACCCACGTCATCTTCAGGGATGTCGTCCAGGGTCTTGGTGAGAGCTGCCAGGAGGGCCTCATTCTCGCTGTCAGTTATCTGAAACAAGGAGCGCGGGTGGAGCAGAGAGGGACATAGTTAGTCAGTACCCTGGGCTCAGCCGTCTTCACGTCTTCGTGGTAGAAATCTGCTCTGCACACGCAGCTGCACCACATCACTCTCTTGCCAAATCCTCTCCCATCCTTCCCCCGCCCTCAGATCTCTCGGTATCACTGGGATGGCAGATGCCTGAGAAATATGTTATCGACTCCAGGAATCACAGAGTCTGTGAGCAGGCAGCAGGTGAAACTGGAAGTAGCCTTGCCCTGGGAGCCCCAATCCTGGCTCTGCTGCTCATCGGGGTGGGCACAGGGCTATCTACCTGAAAGACGCCTGCTGTCCCCTGTAGCAAGGACAGCAGCTCTACACTACAACCTCCTGTTCTAACTCCTGGGACACAGCCCTTGGTCCCCAAAGCTGGCCTCTGCCTCTGGGAACAGCATGCCATTGCAGCCCCCCACTCCCACGGACACTGGGTGCCAGGCAGGCAGTGTACAGGCTGGCAGCTTCGGGGGTGACCATGACAATGAGAACGATGGCAATAATAAAACCACTACTGTTCCCCAGTGGGCTCCTTGGCCATGCTCACCACTCAGGAGGGGTCAGGAGCTTGGGCTCTGGCTGCAGTTGCATCTCAGATCCCACACTTCTCAGGTATGGTCCTTGGTCAAGTTTTAGTCTCTTCATCCGTCTCATGCAACGACAGTACCTACTTCTTGAGCTTAATGTTGAGGACCTAACCTCATCTCAGCTAACGTACGTACAATAAGCTGCTCAGCAAACCAAAGGAGCCTGGCGCATGATAAGTGCTCAGTCCTGCCACTACCATTGCTACTATGATGGTGGTGGTGGAGGCAACGGCAGGCTCTCCTCCCGCCTCCTCCCTCCCTTCCCCTGACATGCATGTACTAAATGGCTACTCTGCACCTGGCACCGTCTGGGCACTTGTCCTACCGCATTGCCAAGACAGGTGTGGCCCCCGGCCTCATGAAGCTTCCTCTCCAGGAGAGAACAGACTTATGAAAGGGAACAAACGAGATCATTTCAGAGAATGAAAGTCTAGGAAGAAAGTAAAAGGAAGTTGCCATGGAGAAGAACGTGGTGAAGATTTACAGGCAAGTTAGGGTGGTCACAGACGACTGCTCTGAACAGCTGGCATTTCAACTGAGGCCCAAAAGGAATGAGGGCACCAGGCAGAGGGTGGAGAACCAAAGAACCCAGGCAGAGAAAAAAACCTAGAGCCAAAGTCTGGGATAAACACTGGGGGCCAAGGAGAGGAGCATCCAGGCCTCATGAATACCGCCTTGGGTAAACCTCATAACAACCTCTAGGAGAGGAGTTCTACTCTAATCTCTGTTTTGCAGTTGGAGAAACTGAGACTCCTGGAGGTTGAACCAGGCGTCTGAGGTCAGATAACAAAACCGGGACAGAGGCAGGGCCTCCACCGTGGCCCACATCAGCCAAGAGTTGAGCCTTTCCGATGTCTAAGACCTATAATGACGGGGGTCATTGCCAGCCCACCCCCAGACACCAGCCCAGTGGCCCCCATGCCCAGAGGCCCCGGAGCATAGCAATCTCATAGCTTCCAGGTGAGGCGCCAAGCACCTCGTTCAGTAAGCCCTGGCTGCCGGGCCTGTTCTGGCAGGAGGCGCCTTTTGTCACATGATGCCTCCGCCAGCACTCTTTCCCAGGTCAGGCTGTTTATCCTTCCTTCAGGAAGTGCATCTGAAATACGCATCTCGTGACAGCCTTTTTGGCTGCACTGAATATGTTCCGGGCCTTGCAACCAGTGAGGCAGCTGAGTAACTCAAAGAGGGGGGACATGGAGTGAAGAGAACAAATGTGCTTGTAGTTTTTGGATTGGAGCTAAAATAAAAGAAGGGTCAAAAGAAGGTTCTGGTTGGGCCTGACCCAGGCCCCGGGGAGTATGTGTGTGGAAGAGGTGGGGGGTGGGGTGGGAATGACATACAAGGGCAGATCCTGGCCTGTGGATTCTGGCTTAAGAATGTGATGGGCTCATTTGACTGCTTGCTCCTCTCTCCCCCTACCACCCCCTCACCCCCACCCCCCCCACACACACAACCACCACCCTCAAGCCAGAGTCCCCTGTATTCCCAGAGTGGTCTGTTTAGCCTGACGGGAGTTAACTAAGACCTTGGAACCAGGGACCATTCCCAGCCCCCACTCTGGGGGCTGACCACATGGGGCTCCACCACCACAGGGTGGTTGCCAGCAAATCGGTTCCCTCTTCTAAGCCTTGCCGCTTTTTCTGTAAAATGGGAAAACATGACTCCCCCACCCCACCACCACTGTCTGCTTAGGAAGGCCAGATCCGGACTGGAGGATGCTCCCAAGCCCAGGCCAGCCCAGTGCCTGGGGCAGGTGGCACCTGGGTAGATTTGTTGAATACAAGGAAAAATGTACCAAACAATGCATTCTGGCCACCGGAACAGATTAGCTAGCGCCTCAAGGGAGAGATTCTAGAGGGAAGTTATTCAGAAATGATGTCACCAGCGCTGGATCAATTAAGAGCCCCCTTTCTCACAGGGACAAGAGCCAGTGGTCCAGTGGTAATACTATGAATTATCACACACATCAGAGCTGGATCCCTCAGGGATCACGTAGTAACCAATGATGTTAAGCATGGGGTCCTGTGTGCCACTGCCCCCCTGTATCACTACCCAATAGTTCTTTCCACACCAGTATCTATTGTTCTATATTTCTTTCTTTCTGTTTTTTTTTAAGAGGGAGCTGCAGAGGCAGAGAGAGAATCCCAATCATCTCCATGCCCAGCGCAGAGCCCAATGCAGGGCTTGATCTCACAACTCTTGAGATCATGACCTGAGCTGAAATCAAGAGTTGGATGCTTAACTGACTGCATCACCAAGGCGCCTCCCATACCAGCATCTGTAACAGAGCCCTCCAAGCAATAACTGCCATTCCTCATTTCCTCATGAGGAAATCTATTTGTCACTGGTGGTGGTGGTGGGGAGGGGGGGTTTGTGGAGGCGGAGAAAGGAAAGTCCAGGAAACAAACTTGTCAAGGTCACACAGCAAGTCAGGGTGGTGGTCAAGGATGTACTGTGTACCAGGCACCATGTGAAAATGAATACGAAAAGGCAAAGACTTCAGGAAGCACCCAACAGGCTGAGCCAAAACAAAATGAGTAACAAAAGGCCTCCTCCCTCTCCTCAGCCCACCCTGGGCTGCTCCAGCTCGGGAACAGCCAGACAGACAGGGTTGGAAGCGCTGACCCTGCCAGGAAGGAAGGCCCCTCTGCCCACAGCGTCCACGGCGTCCGTCAGCACCTAGAATGATACATCACGGGGGGCCGCGCCATCCTCTCCTCTTCCTGGGCCCATTGGCCAGGCTCTCCTGCTCTGCTTGGAAGCGGAGTGCAAATTAATGGAGAGTTAATCAGGGAAGGAAGAGATATTAATAGACTCAACCCCACCCCAGCCTTCCCGAGCTGCACTCAAGCCGGAGGAAAAAGGAGGAAAAAGGAGACTTCAAGAAATCCGAGGAAAAATGCTTCACTTTGAAGGCCTGGGGGGGCCTGAAGGAATGACAGAGAACAGGATTTCTGCTTCGAGGGCCAGAAGAACACTCAGAAATCCCCACCCCCACCCTCCAGCCAGGGGGCTCAACTGGGCTCCAGAAATCCCAGGAAATCAGTTTTTTCCTCCCTTTTTTTCTGGCAGTGGGCCCACAGATTCCATCAGAAAACTGTGACGGGGACCCTCCCCTCAACAGACCAAGAACCACTGACTGAATCCACCACGTTCCCTCCCCAGGGAGCTACCTGCCCACGACCACACAGCAAGCGGACAACCAGGTGGCTGCTTCCTCCAAAAATACTTAGAGATGGTTGTGGCCCTGGCCTGAGGACTCTGGGAAGACAGAAAATGGAGGCCACCATCCCTCCCTGCCCTCGAGGACTTGTTAACCCTGTCACGCTGGCTGCCTCGAGGTCTGTTTCCATAGCAATGGCGCCATCTGCCTGGGGGAACACAGCTCGGACCCAAGCGGAGCTTGTGGCCGTGGGAGAAGCCATGACGCCAGCTTGAGGCCTGTGGAACGGGCCACGACGTCTGGTCCTTGACAGGAAAGAAAGCCTCACAATCAGCTTCTTCATTCAACGCACGACAGCGAGTCCTCACCACGTACGACGCCCCCAGAGCCTAACCAGACGAGTTTGTGCTCCCCGGGGCTCACCGTCCAAGGGGCACAGCGACGGGCTCGCCGCACAGATGGCGCCTGGGAGAGGAAGGAACTCACCGACTGCCTAAGGAGGCGACATGACAGCTTGAAGGGGATTATCCACTTGGTGGCTATTTATGAAGCCCTGGGAGAGTGCGGGGCTCTGCGCAGAGCCCGGGAATATAATAGCGCATGGTGCCATCGTGACCCCACGGTCAGGGGGTTTAGGATGTGTGTGTGGCAGGGGGACAGCCACTGACCACACCATCACACGCACAGGGGCGCATCTGTGGGGAATGGGTGGCACTGGCCTGGGTTTAGGAGGGCAGGTGGGGTGTGCAGACCACGACCGGGGCGGGGCTGGGTGGGCAGAGGTCGGCCAAGGTCCTCTCCGTCTGTGGGGCTGGGAACCCCGGGGCCGCACAGGCTCACTTGACGTCCAAGACCATTTCAGGCACACAGTGGGATCTTGGCAGGGGCTTGCTTCCTTTCTGAGGAAGCAGGGAGCCCGTACAGCTCGGGTGGGGTTCTCCATGCACCATCTCAACCTCTCCTGCTCATCAGCCCTCCCTGCCTGAAGGTATTTTCTGGAAGTGAGCCACACACACCCCCGAGGGGGGGGTAAAGCAGCGTAGTGTAGGTCTCACCTCTATTGTTCAAATAAAGAATGGAGGTCCCTGGACCTAGCCCAAACCAGAGCCCAGCCCTGCTGCTTTGCATACGGTTGGCAGAGAAGCTGTACAGCAGTGAGGGGTAGGGCTTCCTCAGATCTTCACTGACCCTTGCTCGCTGTGTGACCTGGCGTAAGTTACTTAGCCTCTCTGAATTTCACTTTCCTCACCTATAAAATGGTTATTAATAGTCCTTTCTTTTTAGGTTAGGATAGTCTCAGGAAAAATCTAGACTCCTTACCATGGCCCCCGAGACCCTGCATGCATGACCTGGCCCCTGCCTACCTTTCCGACTACCCTCTGGCACAATCCCTTTAGCTGCTACCCGCCAGCTCTTCTGTTCTCCAACATAGCAAGCTTTCCTGTTCCCGGACTCTGTGCTTACTGCTTCCTCTGCCTGGAAAGCTCGGTCCCTGCTCTCTGAGCTTCACAGGGCTCCTCCAACCATCCTCCAACTGAAGCAGGGCCTCCTCAGAGAGGTCTTTCCTGACCACCCAGTCTTTAGATCCCCTTCTCACACCTGGTGCGTTTCTTTTGCACACGTGTCACCATGACCACAGTTTCGGTGTTAACTGATCTAGGGTCACTTTTCTCTCTAGATTGTAGACAGCACAGTGTCTGACACACAGAGGGAGCTTCCATTTCTAGAAGGAACGCTACAATCTGTTGAGACTATCTGAGATGATGCTCACGGCATACGAGCACGGCACAGTAGTAGGTTAAATTGTTGTTTATTAGGATTATATTGCCAGACAGGCATGGAGACTAAGGGTTCTCCCCCCAGTCTTTATAGGGGAGCGTATTTCAAGGAAATAATAATAAATCCGATTGTGCCTATCACTCAGTTTCAACACGGCAAATCTTATTTCCCATACACCCTCCCCTACACACCCACACTCACATACGCAAATGCAAGCAGAGCTTGCTGTATGTTGAAGCAAATCCCAGACTTATTATTCCATACTAGAGGGCTTCTTAAAGGAAATGTCACCCATCACATGCCCTGAGACTGGACGCAGAGCGCATAAAGTAAGAGGCCTTACGTTCACAGTTCTCGGCACTGCCTTTTTTTAAAGAATCTCTGGGCTCCAGTTGAAAAATGGAGACAACTGTACTTGCTCTAAGAGTTGTTAAGAAAATTAAATAAGTTAATAGACACAACAGGGACAGTCCTGCCACAGAGCAGTTGTTCAATACATGTGAGTCATCTCCAATATGGCGCAGCCGTGGTTACAAAGCCCTGGCTCAGGAGGGAGGCAGACTGGGTTTGCATCTAGCTCAGCTACTGACTAGGTAAATCGCCCCAGGCACATGACTTTTAACTTCTCCAAGCCTCAGTCTCCTCATATATGAAATGGGTTTATAATCATGCCTGCCTCACAAGGTAGGGATGAGAATTCAGTGAGGTAATAGAGGGTAGGAGGGTCTTGGGGTTTTAAGCCACCCAGGCCCACGGAGTGGCTCATTTCTGACTGGGGGGCATAGCAGGAGCAGCTCTTCCCCATCCTCGCTGTCCAGGGGTGGTAATGGGCCCAGCAAGGGGTAAGAACCCCCAAGGTCAAGAGCAGATCCACGATAAGAGGCAGGGTCCCAAGAGCTTTGGTGGGTGATAAGACTTTTTTGCATGAGCAAATGCAAAAGAAGGTGGTACAGGGCAGAGCCAGGCTCTTAGGAGCAGAGAATTACCTGGAGGCTCAGAGGACATACCTGGAAGAGCTCGGAGTCATCGGGGCTGTACTGGCTGGGTTCAGTCTCAGAGTTCTCTGAGCACCACTGCAGCTCCCCAAAGCAGGTGGCTGAGTCAAAGTCACTGGCGTCCAGCTGGGAGAGGTCAAGCTCAGGAAAGTCTGCGCAGAGTTGCTCCTCCCCAGACACCCCACTCTGAGGAGACAGGAAGAAGGAAGGTGAGTCAGAGCTGGGCTTGGCTGGACCCAGGCACAGACCCTCTTAACTCATGGTGCTGCCGGCCTGGATGGATCTCTGGCAGCTCTCGGTCAAGGCCTGATTTTGCCACATGACCAAGGAATGGCAAGGTAGGCCTCACCCTCCTGCAACGGTTGAATCTACCAGGAGCTAAGCCAGGCCCTGGCAATACAAATCCTGCCTGCTGCTCAATCCCCTCCTCCTTTGCACTCCTACACATCCCTCAAAGCCCTTTTCCCATAGCACCTCTTTCCTCTTATCAGAACTGTTGTGTTGAAAACTTCATTAGAAGCTGTAAATAGATACTCATGTACATTACTGTGCCCACCAGAAAGGGGATTTCTGGAATTCAATGTTAATAATGAAACAAAACCCAGTAATAATAATGGCCGACATTATTGAGGGATGACGATGTTCTGGAGAAATACTCATTTATGTTCTCAGGGATTTTATTGGACTATGTGTAAAGTCTAAAATGTGGAAGACCACCTGTCCGTGGACATAGGTAAATAAAACCATAATCACTGTAGCATGGAATAGCACGGTGCATCTAAAAAGAATGAGGCAGAGGTATGTGCTCCCCAAGACATGTCAAGTGGAAATAAATTGTAGAATATAGCATGTAGAATATTATCCCACGCATGTAAAGAGAAAAATCCAACTATGCAACTCTCTGTGTGTGATAATACGTAGCAAACATACAGGAAAAGGTCTACAAGGCTATAAATCCACCTGCCCGCGGTGGACGGGGTTGGGGGGAGGCCCAGAGGACTATGGTGGCAGCCCTGACTGACCCAGCCTATCTCAAAGTGTGGTCCCAAGACCGGCAGGGTCAACACCACCTGGGAACGTGTTAGAGACGATGCAGATTCTCAGGCCTAACTCCAAGCCAACTCATCAGAAGGCAACGGCTTTCTGACCCTGGTCTCGCACTTTGAACAACCACCCGTAGAAGGGCTGCCCTGCAGATTGACAAACAGCCCGAGCTGGGAGGCTGACCCAGAAAGGGCATACACCACAGGCCTTGGAGGCTGGTAGACTTGAATCATAATCCCCATGTGCCAGCTGTGAAACCTGGGGCACAGCTCTTCTCCTCTCCGAAGCTCAACTGCCTCGTCTGTGGAATGGGACAAAACCTGCCTCACAGAGTTAAGATTAAACAAGGCAATGCTACAGCCTGGCTTGGGAGACGCTCCATGAATGGTAGTAACAGTACTAATAAAAGTAAGAAATAATAATAATAAAAAAACAACAGTGTTTCATGGCAGTCAGAGAGCGTAGACCTGTCTTCGAGAACAAGAAAAGGCCTATGTAACGCTTAAAAGAAATAGGTTTTGCACAGGCCTTTTCCTTAATTGTTCCCACTTACTAAGCCTCATAAATTATGAACAAATGTATATTATTAGCTCAACTTGACACAGGAAAAAGGCTTTTATCCGAATTTGGGTCAAATGTCTTAATTGGTGTTTTGCAAGAACTCTGTATCCATGGGCACCACCAGCGCCAGGTTCTCTCAAGTGGCTGGTCCCCTGCTCTCAGACCAGACACCAGGGTGCTCTGCAAGCCTCTGTCTCCAGGGCCATCCCTGGGATCGCTGTAGGCCCCTCCCAACACCCTACTACTACTACTGGCCACCACCACTCAGTTGCCCTGGCTGCAGGAAACACTTGGGTGGATTCTCAGCCACCTCCGGGGGCTTCCTTCCCCTCTTTGTCCCATCAGACTGTGGGGATGCAGCTAGATGGTCTGTTTCCAGTTTTCTGCTATTGTGAACAAAGTCTGCAATATGTGTGTACACATCTTCGTGTGGACATGCACCTTTAGCCCCCTTGGGTAAATGGAGTGGCACTGCTGGGTCACAGAGTCAGCATAAAAACTACAAAACCATTCTCCAAAACTGTTGTGCCATAGTACATGCTCACCGGCTGTGCTGAGAGTGCCAACTGTTCCACACCCTGCCCAGTGCTTAGTGGTGTCAGTCATTTTAATTTTAGCCGTGCTGGTGAGTGTGCTCCCGCATTTATTAAATGCAACGATGAGCCGGGCCCCGAGATATGTAAGACAGTTTATTCCTTCACGAGTTGCCATCTTAGGAGGGGAAAAACACATAAATACTTCTTTATGGGTGGTGGTGGTGGTGGTGGTGGTGCTCTGAAGGAAACAGGCCAGGTGTGCTGAGCGAGGGTAACAGAGGGAAGGGAAGTCTCTGATAGTGGGGGCTCAGGAAACGCTTCCTGGAAGAGCTGACTCTGAGTTGAGACTTGAAGGGAGTCAGGCAGTGGAAGATGCGGGGAGGAATGTTCTAGGCAGAGGGCCCGGCAAGGCCAAGACCCAAGCGTGGGCCAAGGCTAGAGCATAAAGCACTGACCAGAGGTCAGTGAGGCTGCAGCTCGGGGAGCGAGGGGGAGATGGGGGAAGATGCCTCCAGAGAGGCAGGTGGAAGCTGGATCAGGGAGGGATTGCAAGGGATTTGGGTTTTACTCCAAGTGTGATGGGGGTGGGGCCAGCGCAGAGGTGCAGGCAGATAGGTTAGGCAGGTCGAGCATCCAGGAGAGGGACAGGTGGCAGGCTATGAGATCCCACTCTGCTGCAGTGAGGGCCAGAGCAGACTCAGGAGTGCTGGGCAGCTGGGGTCCCCCCGGTCAGCAAAGCCCCCAGCAATGAGCTCTCTGGGAGCTCTTTCTATGTCCCCGATCCCTCTCATCCCAGGAACTCAGCAAAGCCACATTTGTAGGACCTGCTTCTTGAGGCTTAGAAACCACTTTAAAATCAGAGTCTCAGAATCTCAGACTGGCCAGGAATTGGCAGCCCTGAGAGGTTGTCCAGGAGAGTCACTGCAGACAATCTGGGAGTCAGAGGCCCCTTCAGGAACCAGACAAGAGCTGTAGATAGCCTTTATGTTGCCCATAAAACATGTCTGAGCAACGCATGCATGTACAAGAAATGTATATGTAACTTCCAGGCCTTCTCACAAAGCTTCAGAATTCCTGGCCTGCTTGGTCTCCCTCCTTCACTTCACAGGAAGGGAAACCGAGGCCCAGGGAGACTAATGGATTTGCTCGGGGTCATCCAGTGAGTGTCCTTCCCATCCAAACCATGCCGCCTCCTTTACCAAACACCCACTAAATGGCCATGACTACTGCACTTATGGATTATCCACAGCAGCACAACATACTCAAAGTGTACCTAGGACATAAAAATAAAGAAACCTCAGCTTCGCGGCCTTGTCGATTAGGGCTGAGGCCACTCTCTGGCTAAAAACCATTAAGTACTGCATTAATAGTAATTTCTCTGGCCTTCTCCATATTTAGAGAGGTTTTTTGAAGGGGTGCCTTGGGTGACCCAGTTCTCTTTGAAAGGTCTGACTTGAGGCCTTGCTCCATCCCGGGCTCTTCTGCAGGCCCCCTAGCGGAGCTGGAGGGCACAACACCGGACTCACAGCCATGGTCATCAACAAATGCTTTGCTTACCAAAAGCCAGGGCGGCACTACATGCCTTAGAAGTGTCCTCTCATCCGATTCTTAAAGCAACCCTGCAGGGCAGGTATCACTGTCCTCATGTTATTCATCAGGGAACTTGGAGATCCAGGCCCTCAGATCAGCCTGCCAGGGCTGCCGTCACAAAGCACCACAGGCCAGGAGCTTAAACAACAGGAATGTTTTATTTTCCAGGTCTGGAAGCTAGAAGCCTGAGCTCAAGCGGTTGGCAGGGGTGGCTCCTTCTGAGGCCACACTTGTTGGCTTGTGGATGGCCTTCTCCCTATATGCCTTCCCATCGTCTTGCCTCTGTGCGTGCCTGTCTTTTCTCTTTTGATAAGGAGACTAGCCATACTGGATTAGGGTCCTTGCTAATGACCTCACTTAAACCTGCTGACCTCTGTAAAGACCATATCTCCAAATCAGGTCATTTTCTGAGGTGCTGGGGGTTAGGTGCTGTGTGGTTAGGGCTCAAACCTATCTTCTTTCAGAAGACACAACTCAACCCACAGTACCCAGGGTCCCAGAACAGGGAAGCAGAGATTAAAAGCCAAGTCTTTTTGCTCCCTGCAAAGCTTATGCCATTGCCTGGCATCTGCTTCTGAAAGTGGACAGGAGCATTCAAGACCTTTATATTCCCATTTACAGGCTGGAAGGCAGGGGGTTTTCAGACAAGGGCTGAGAAAGATCCAAGTCACATGGCAAGTTCAGGGACAGGTCTGGGGCCACAAACACTGTGCTGTATATTGGACTCATGCAGATGGCCAGTCATCTCTGGTCCCCACCAATGGTCTGCTTACACCCATGCCATGGGATGTCCCTCTGGTTGCAGCATCATATCCCTGATCTGAAAAGGCTGCGGCTGCCCTAAGCCAGGGAGATAAATGGCCCTAGCAGTGGATTAATGGTGTTTTGTACAGATTCACATAAGTGGCTTCATTGGAAGCCTGTGTATCTTGTTGGAAATCGATTCTCTGCTTAAGAAAGAATGCATCTTCAGGAAAAACTGGTGGCTCCACTTTCCTGACTGCAATCAGCAAATTGTCAAGCTTAGTCCTTGGCCTAGAGCACACTGTCAGAGTCACTGAGTGGTAGGAAGCAGGAGGGTGAAGAAGGGAGGTTGCAGTGACAGAGCCTGGATTCTGGGGCTGTGCATACTCACTATGCGCCCTTTACCACGTGTGCACTTCACAGTCACCTATCCTCCCAGTTCTCACTGTCCCTCTCTAGAAAAGAGAACATCAAAGGGACAGACCCCTCTTGCTCAAGGATTCGATACAATTCTGTACTAATCTAGTTTCTGAAATCCATATAGGCTTTCAGTAAATATCTAGGTAGAACCTGGCACTTAATAAATAAGTGAATGAATGAATGCATTTACCAAGGGGAAGACAAAGGTGGAGCAAGAAGGACTGTCATGAAATGGAAAGAGGCCTACACAAAGGTCTGGGCCCTGGCTTTACTGTTTAATGCTAACCTTTT